TTCTGAGCCGCCGGCAAAGCTTCGAGATGTGTGGACCTAGTAGGAAATGTGAGTAAGAGCGGTTGGTGAACTGTACAAGCAGGTCATACTTAATGAGCTGTTGCTGCCCAAAGTGACAAAAACCAAGTCGACAATGTGATCAACTTCTTCTCTGCCCAGGGTTGTCAAGTCCTCGTCTTGGAATCCATGACGAACCCACTGGGCAGAGCCATTGGCAATATGTTCAGATAGAGTGAAATGCATGTCATCGGTCTCCGGCGCAATGATGATCGGCTTTGCGCCGACCTCGAGGCTCCTCGCACATCGAGCGGCGGCAAGAGGATTTGAACCGACAATCAAGTGGACTTGTGAGTCGGTATTCCACGCAACCATAAATGGCGCAGTTGGACTAGGATCGCATGAGGCGTCCTTCATGGTGAAGTATAGTAGAACGAAATGTCAAGCCCCGCCAATAAATCTAGTAAGAGATATGTCGGCTTGAGAGAGGTAATGGAGACCGAATTGCGGAAGGATCTTGAGTTCCGGGGCTCCCAGAGAATTGGAGCTTGTATTTAACAAAAAGACCACCCAATGAAGTGATTTCTAGACTTCCGCGGAGAAAGCGACGAATATCAAAACTGAGTAAAAGGCCTGTCACTATTGGTGATAACGGGCGATAAGGATTATCGAAGTGGGGGATGATCCTGGCACAATTGACGGTCTTAGAGGAAACCCTAAGGTTTGTAAAGGTGATCAAGAGTCAGAAAAAGGTCCTTGAGGTCGAACTTATACATTGACTCATATATAGCAAACGCACAACTCTTTCTAAAATTTTCTATACATCTTTATTGCCTAAAACGGTTAAAGGCAATTGCGTGCTTGTCACCACGTGACTCTGAATACCGGGGAAGTGCAGGGATACTTACCTAAAGTAGTTTAGTGGGAGTGCGCAAGTAAGAGATGTGCGTGGTCTTTAACTGCATATGCATCTTTCTTGACGACGTAGGACTTGGAAATCTGATCCATTTGGCTCAAAATAAGATTGAGGACATCAGAAAGAATAGTAGAATGGTATCTCTTCAGATATATTCCTTCCTACAACTAAGGTACAATCTGCGATATGACTACTCACGCAGTATGTAGCCTAACGTGCACATAAATGTCAAGTCGCATGTAACGAGTCGAGACCTCTTCTTGAGAACAATATGGGCAAACTCTTGCTTCATGGAAACAGTGATAGCGTATCTCCTGTTTCATTGTTTAATCCAATCGCTCTTCTGTCGCTCATACATGTGTCGGGATATAGATCGGGATATGATATGCTACATTGGACACTAGTTCTAACTAGGTATAGCCCGAGTAAGCATAGGGTAACCTCGGGAAAACACCACGATCTATGATCCAAAGGCCACGCACAATCATATGCCGCTGCAGCCAGGTACAATGTAGATTTATACGATTTATAGTAAGATTATTATTTATGGCCGTAGAGGCTTCTGGCGGCTGGTCAGATGGTATTGAAAATTCGGTTTAGAGCCTCTTCTATTGGTCGCTATGGCATGTTTAACTTCGTTGAACAGGAACATAGATGAGAGAACAATATATAGATTGTTAACTCTGGCTTAAATGACCAGTTACATATGTTTCCATAACAGACTGGAATATACTCGTGGGATGTTCCAAAGTGCTAGACGAGAGGACAACTGGAAGTACAGAGTAGAAGGCGATGTTTCGGTCACGTGGGACGGAGCTTCCAGCTCGTAAGGGCGCAACACCGGAGCTACAAGCATCATCTCTATCATCCTTTTTCATTCCGCGAATCTCACGTTGTCAAGCGCAACAAACCTGCTCAAAGAAATTTTCTACCAACTAACCTATTAATATTTTAAATTGACTCACCGGCCCCCCAGCCTCATTCGTCATCATGTCCGGCCTGCTGAAGCCCGAGAAGGACTTCACTAAGGATGCCGACAAGCTCATCCCGGAGGCGGAAGATCTCGCAAAGGTACATCCGGACACGATATCCATATCAAAGCTGATGCTAACGTATATGATTCTAGACCGATGTCCAGGGAGCAGTCGATAAGCTGCTGGGCTTGGAGAAGCAATCCAGACAGGTATGACGCCGAGTGCCACTCCATTACTGCTCCACCCAAACTAATCAAGATTCTCTTATTCAGGCATCCGATCTTGCCACTACATCGCGACTCCTGATTGCCATTGTCACCATCAGCAAGAACTCCGGCGACTGGAACCTTCTGAACGACCAAGTGCTGCTCCTATCTAAGAAACATGCCCAACTCAAGCAGGCCACAACGAAGATGGTGCAGACGGTGATGACATTCCTGGATGACACACCCAGCCTGGAGGTCAAGTTGTCTGTTATCGAAACTCTGCGCACAGTGACCGAGGGAAAGGTACGCTGAGAACCATTGATCTTGACCGAAGTGGTGCTAATTCTCGCAAAGATCTTTGTTGAAGTAGAGCGTGCCCGCGTTACCCGCATACTTTCAAATATCAAGAAGACCCAAGGTGATCTCACTTCGGCAGCAGACATCCTGTGTGAGTTGCAGGTGGAGACATTTGGGTCAATGACGAGACGGGAAAAGACAGAATTCATTCTGGAGCAGGTCTCTTTGTGCATTGAGCGCGGAGACTGGACCCAGGCTCAGATTCTCAGCCGCAAGATCAACAAGCGGTACTTCAACCGCAAGCCGAAGAGGTCGGCTGAGCAGATCGAGACGCTCAAGAAGGAGGCAGAGGAGCGAGAGAAGACCCGTGGGCCTGATGAGGCACCCATAGAGGTGGATGACGACGTCACAGATCTCAAGCTTCGTTACTTCGAACAGCAGATTATCTTGGCCAACCATGATAGCAAATATCTCGAGGTTTGCAAGAACTACCGGGAAGTCCTGGACACGGAAGCAGTCGAGAACAACCCAGAGCAGCTGCGTGCCGTAAGTAAACTTACCTGTCTCAAATTTAGGTTGCCACTAACCCAACTATAGTCACTCGCCCGCATTGTGTACTACGTCGTCCTGTCTCCCTATGATAATGAACAATCCGACCTCTTGCACCGCATCAAGCAAGACTCACGGCTGTCACAAGTCCCCGAGGAATCCCGCTTGTTGAAGCTGTTCACCATCCCCGAGCTGATGCGCTGGCCTATGGTCGCTGAGCAGTTCGGCCCCCATCTATGCAGCACAGACGTGTTCGACGCCGAGCCAAAGCAGTCTACGGAGAACCAAGCAAACCAGAGGTGGCAAGACCTGCGGAAGCGTGTCATTGAGCACAATGTCCGTGTAGTGGCCAAGTACTACACTCGCATTCAAATGGGCCGTCTGACCCAGCTTTTGGATCTGACCGAGGAAGAGACGGAGAAGTACATTAGTGATTTGGTCACATCGAAGACCATCTACGCTAAGATCGACCGACCCGCGCGGTTGGTCAACTTTGCCAAACCCCGGGATGCCGATGACGTTCTGAACGAGTGGAGCAGCGACATGAAGAATCTGCTGGGTCTGCTCGAGCGGATCGATCATCTGATCACCAAGGAGGAGATGATGGCCCGTATTCAGCCCACTCGCAGTGACATGGGCAAGGCGCATTAAGTTGTTTGAGATGAATGTGGAGGACTTGGGCGCGGGGATTGCTGCCACCGCGTGTAAAATAATTCGCCGGTAGACCCATGAGTAGTGAAGTCGCAGCATTGACCTTTATATGACCCATACACAACAAATTTCAGTCTCATGACAGTACCAATCATCAAGTCTTTATTCTTAGGGTAGGGGTGTATATGTGCTACATGTAAGCATGGTCTAAAAAATCTAAATCTAGCTCCGTCTATATGTACAGCCTTCGTCCTCAAAATGGCAAATCCATGTCATTCACATCCTCTTCCACCTCCTTGGCCTCATTCTTCTTCGAGAAGACGCCATTACCATCCATTTCATCCCGAATAAAAGTCAGAGCAGCATCAAGATACGGCCGCTTACTCGGCAAGAAGTGACCACCAGGATGGAAAACAACCAACCCATTCTTGTCCGGATCACCAGCACAAGCCTCAACCAAACCCCGACTCCTCACCTCCTCAACAATCGCATCCAAAGACCCAAGCACATGCAACACAGGCGTCTGAATCGCCGGCTCATAGAAAGCCCTGTACCGAGCCCCAGGCGCCCTAAACCCACAGTAAGAAATCGCAAACTTAAGCGGCGGATGCTGGAACCCGTCCTCCGCGAACGACGCGGGGAAATCCATGCCCGCGCCCCCCTCATCGCTTATCTTAGAAAAGTGCTCGAACGATTCCTTCCGGCCGGGCTCCAGCAGCGAGGCGACCATGGCGGCCAGCGCCGCGCCCTGCGAAAACCCGATCACGCCGTCGAAGGGGCCCTCTTCTTTCAGTGTGCGCGCTACAGTCGCGAACCCTTCTTCGATGCCGGCGTATAGCGGCGGTATCGCGCTGGTGGAGTGCCGCCACCAGCCGTAGGCTTCGATTTCGTCGTCTGGGTTGACTTCTGGGGAGGGCTCGTAGCCTGGGATCTCACTGGGCTGGAGGCGGATCGGGCCTGTTGGGTATGCGGCGGAGACTTCGTAGAGGGGCAGGGACTTTTGGAGGTGTTTTACCAGAGCGCGGCTGCGGAAGTTGAAGATGCTGCCGGACTGCGTGTAGCCGTGGAGCATTAGCAGTTTGAGCGGTTTCCGCGTTGTGGTTGGGGTTGGGGTGGTGGGGGCCATTGTTTCTAGGAGGCGGGTTTGGGTAGGTTTGAGTAGGAGGGATTTTGAAGGCTGGGAGCAGAGGGATGCTTTATACATTGGAAGAGGAAAGAGTAGAACCTTGGAAGAAAAGGACGCTTTTTCTCCGATGTAAGCCCGATAAGAGATAAGGAAGAGGAAGGCGGAGTGCGGGGGTCCTATTTAGGAAATTCCAAATGTAAACAGCTTCGTCACATCAGCAAACATCCGATTCAGGTCTCAATTCTACCTTCCATTCTGACAAATACCATATACAACCTGCCATCATGTCTGATACTATCAACATTCAAGACATGAATGCCAAGATGCAGGCTCTACTTGAGCATGTTCCCCCCTACAACCCCACCACGCAGAAATATAGTAGTATGTTGCTAACAAGTTGAAACAGTGCCTTTGAAGCCCACCCTCAGTGCAATCCCCCTAACCGGCACCCAACAATCTACTTCTTGTACGACTTTGTTCGCAACAGCCACAACCAGCTGAAGGCTGTCGACGCTGCCAAGTACGCTGCCGGCGACAACGCTGCCAAGGTAGCCGTAGACGAGATCGATGGCCGCAATATGTTTGCTAATACGCTTATCAATGACACTACTGGAAAGCTGGCCATGCTGACCGGCGGCGACCCCTCCAACCCTGTTGATTTCGGCCCCGAGATCAAGGCCAAGGCGCTCATTTTGATTCAGTAAGAGTTCAAAGCTTAGTCTTTTATTTATTTCTACATATCCATCCAAGGGGATGGGAAGATCAAGACGAGCTAGGCTGGGCTTTACTCTGCTTGAGTTTCTATCTTCTCTTCGTTACTGGCAACTCTTGTCCAGGGGCTTCTTGTACACAAAGTACACAAACAGAAACGTATCATGACATATCCATATGTACATACAACCTTGATTGAAACTAGGGGCTCAGTTTCTTTTGATCCTTCAAGTTTTGGTATTTTTCTTCTAATATGCACAGAGGAGAAGAGGGTGCCTTCGGTTTACGCGTTTGGGAGGGATCCGTCGTGTTAGAACGATCTGCGAGGACCTCAGCGCGAACGATTCTGTGATACAAACAAGACATTGGAATACGTGGGGAGATCAAGTCTAGGAGTTCAACTCGGCTATGGCTATCTACATGTATTCCGTGGGACTTGTCAAATGGCAATGAGAGCCACGACTTCAGGAACATCCACGAGAACGCTCGGTTTGATATCTGATGCAGACCTACATGGACCTCATAACAATGGTAATGTTATGATCCCTGTGGTAGGCGAAGCAGCATGTGCTACGGGTCTCTCTGTCACGCTGTCTCGGGGGGCTACGGTGAGATGGTGGTCAGAGGGATGGGGAGGAGAGAAGAAGAAAGGAAGAAGAGAAATGGGGGGAGGGGCCCTTTTATACCCTCAACAAACGGTGCCTTCCTCAAGGGCGACACCCTCCTTCGCACCTTCCTTGTCAATGTCAATGTCAATGTCACATCGCACCTTCCAGTTTACATTGTTTGCCTTCTTTATTTACATCTGTCACAGAGGAAGGAGCGACATTGGCTTCAGGGCATTATGTCAATTCCTTGTAGTGCAATTTCGGGTTTCGTCTGTAGTTCTTTAATAGCAATATATATGTAAATGAGTGTTTATATCTTTTCCCGAGTCGCTTCTCGAGACATCAAACTATTCGCAGGCAATTCTTGACAGGGATTCCCACCCATAACATATATATCCCTGAGGTGGTATACATTCTACAAAGGTTAACAAGATAGAGTATCAGACAAGATAACAAAGAATATAAATTTGTCTCGTCACTTTGAAACCTACACCAAAGCAGACAAGCGCAGTGCGCGAGGTGGGGAACACCGGGACCCGCAGTCATCCTGAGGGGTAATGATAACTACATCCTTAGGAGGATACAGCTTATATCTGTATTGCAACTCTTGTTTAGGACAATCGAGTTCCCCAGGTAATCTTAGACTCTCGGCATAGAGGATATTGGATATCTTATGGTACAACTACTCCGTCCAACGGTATACAGTGCTTGACAGTGTCGAGCTACGGTTATACATCTACAACTGGCAGCCATGTGAGGTACAACTCATGATATAGAGGTGTAGAACCCGATATACAGTAGTCGCAGATACATTTAATACACCAAGCACAAGAAAGCAGAAAATCAAAACATAAAACAGAGCACAAAGTCAAGCAAGGTGCCTTTTTTGTGCCAGATATCCGGAACTCCCTTAGCAGAATGCTAGTTGCTTTTTTTTTTGAATCTTTTGTGGGGGTCATTGACAGGGTCGGGGCACTCCATCTTCTATCTGTCATAACGCGCAAAGAAAACAAGAATTCAACGCTGAGATTTTAATCATCACCGTGAAATGCAAAAGAAAGAACAAGCAATGGGTGGAAATAGGATGAGAAATGAGCCCAAAAGGCCACATTCAAATTTTGTCTTCTTCAAGAGGGGATCCAGTACACTGATATAATATGGAAAAAGAGCCATATCACATCATATGCAAATCGCATCCCCTCACAACCCAACACCAGTCGAAAAAACAGTTAAGAAAAATGTCCGTGTGGTTCGGTAGGGGAAGGGTGATATTGAAAAAAAGGTTGTTTGGTATGTGACATTTTGAAGCCCGGTAGGAAGAGAGAAAGAGAGAAAGCCCAGTATATGGAACTGGGCCAGAATAGCAACTCTCTTCCCGAAACACCGAAAACCGAAGCCGAGACGATCAAAAAAAAGGTAAGAGGTCAACCCCGGGTCTTGGTATTTTCATCCTAATTTCTCTCCATGCTAATTCTCTCTTTGACGTTTCAACCGGAACATAACAAGAAAAAAAAGTTTTTCATTCGTTTCTCGTTTACTTGCGGCGGAAAGAGCAACCCTCGGTCAGACGGGCCTTACCACCTGTGGGCTGGCAGAGGACGGTCGAGCAGCCGGCGCAGATGACGACGGTCTGGGCGTGGGAGAAGACGGTAGTGATGGTGAAGCAACCGGGGCACTTGACGTCCATGAAGAAGGAGCGGGGCGAGGGCACAAGGGTCTGTAGGCGAGAGAAGTTCAATAATCAGCCATCATTGTTCATCCAACATTTGATTTCCATTTCCATTTCCCAGAAGAATTCCATATCATCCTGTCGTTCGGTGCCTTTCCCATTTGCTCCATGGTGAGCATCGGAGGTCCAGGTCCAGGTCGAATATCCAGGTTTCGCCCCTCGTCGGGTTGATATTTTCACTTCTTCTTTCGTGTTTCTTTCGGGGGTCGGTTGGTTCATACCTTAAGCTTGTGCTTACGGGCCTCGGCCTGGGGGGTGGGGTTGAGGAGATCGACCGCGAGAACCTATCGAGGACAACATGTTAGCGTCGGTGGACGTTGAATTTTTCGAATCGACAATCCGTATGGGTCTTCCATGTCCGTGTGTATCGCATCGAACAGGGACCGAGCGGAAAAGGGCGAAAATGGGCTTACCATCTTGACGAGTGAAAGTCGATCAGCGAGATAGTTGATTAAATGGCGCTGATGGCGATGGCCTTGTGTGATGCGGATGAGGTGGTCTTCTAAGAGAAGTCTGGAGGGATTTGGACCGGTTTGGGTGGAGGTAGGGCTTTGTGCCGCTTTGTGCCCTCGCTTGTCCTTATTCGGGAAGGCGGCGAACTTTCCACCAATGAAAGGCTGATGAGGTAAGCTACTGAGGTAAGCACGCGCGCAATCGCTGGTTCGAGTGGAGACATGGACTCGCTGCGGCAGGCAGTCAGGTGCTTCGACTTTCTTCTACAACAATCTCGAAACGAACGGCAATATTACAACTCTCATATTCTATCGCTATAACGCCACTCCAAGCTACTTCTATGTGCCGAAGGGAAACTAAAGTATGTACTGGAAAAGTCATTAGCCAGGCATCATTTGTCCAACGCGCTCTTCAATCCGGATACCCGACTCCTCCTCAATTGAGCTGTTTCGCCTGTGGCGAAAGAGACTGAACTGCCATTCCCCACAAGCCCATGAAACACTCACGACTGCGCCACCAATCGCGCCACATCCCTTTATTTGGTCTTCTTCGACAAACCGGTCTTGCGCTCGGTCTCCTCGACGAAGGGGTACTTGATCGTGAGGCACCAGATATCGACATAGTCGCATATCGTGGTGATGATATCGAACTGGAAGAAGATCAAGATCAGCAACTTGTCGCGCGCAGGGGAAACATGAAGGAAACATACCACGAAGCTACCGTATATACCGACAGCCAGTCCCAATAACCCGAACACGAATGCCACCTGCCCAACACCATACCCAAGCACAGGGGCGGACCACAAGCCGAACAGCGCACCCGCGCTGTCCAAAACACCCAGAGCGAGCGGGTACAGCAGGACGTTTTGGTAGGGGAAACTCGTCTGAGTGAGGTGGCCGATGATAATGCGGCCAACAGAGTAGGCATTGACGAGACTCACAAACAACCCGAAGGGGATGGTGTAGTTCTCCAAAATCATCGGATGCAGGTATAGGTAGGCGAAAATGGGACTCCAGATGGCTACCAAGGGCAGGAGGCCGTACAGCGGTGTGAAGGGATCCTGGCCTCGCTCGCGACGCACCTTCATGACGTGCATGATACTCGAGCCGATGGCGAAGCAGAGCACAACGGAGCCATACACAAGATACCATTGTGTGAAGGGCATGTTGTACACCTGGCTTGAGAGGAAGCTAGGTTTCGGCACGCCGATGGTCTCCAGCATGGACTGGTGCCAGAAACTACCGCCACCCATGTAAGCGGTGAATAGGTAGACGGTGCAAAGAGTGAGGATTCCCTCGACGGGGCCGGAGATCACGCCCAAGGTGAGGATTTGCGTGTAGTATTCATCCCATGTCTGAACATAGAAGGTGATGGTTGCTACGATTGTCAGAGACTATTTATGCGTGGAAGGGCAGGGGAGGGCTGGGCTTACATCCGAATAGAGCGATGAAGGTCATCCAGGACTGGCCCATGTTCATTGCCGAAGCGAAGACCAAGACGCTGAGACCGGTGTTGCATGCATCGACGCCTAGTAACGTAGAAACAAATAATCAGCAATCCATGAACTCCAGCGTTTTATACTATCTTCAGTAACTCACTGTGATCGAAGAGTTCGCCTAACGGGCCACTCTGTCGGGTTCTCCGTCTAAACGCAGTCAGTATCTAAAGCACCCTCAACTGTCTCAGGAAAAGTGTAGACATACGCCTGCATGCCATCTACGGCATCGAAAGTCTGGTACAGGAACAAGCCAATCGCACAACTGGCATAGACCCAGGGCGGGCAGTCCGTATCCAAGTTCGGGTTGTACCACATGACGGTGACGAAATTAATTACCACGAACATGAAGCCGGTGAGGGTGATCTACCGAAGCGAGCGAGATTAGGATATTTCTTATACGTGGCAATTGTAACAGTGTCTCATGGGCAAGACTTACGGCATTGGGTCTGTGGACGCGCAAAAAGAAGAATCAAGTCAGCCATGTTCCATGTTGCGTTGCGTATAGTTCGTCCGGGTATTCAGAAAAGGCCACCAGAGAATGTATAACCCATGCATGCATAGTCCGGGGAAAAGTAAGGGGAGGGAAATACTCACGCCATGCCCATTGGGAAGCAAGGAATCACGAATTTGTTGTAAAACGGCTTGAGAACAAACCGGCTGACAGGCGAGTGGTCGACTCCAGCATATTTGTAGTTCTTCAGATTC